TGGGGGCTCTTACAGCGTCTATAACATTCCATACATCAATTGTATCAAGCATGTTTGTACACGTTGCCATCGTCATTTCCAAAAGGGTTTCTTTCTACTTGAGCCTTCTCTGTAAGCTCCTTTTTTTCTCCTCCCTCCCTCCTGAATCCTTGATCAAGCATTTACTTTTGTGATGTAATCTGAAGTGAATGAATTTCTTGAATTATACCAGAGTTCAAAATATACCTGTTTCTTCAGAATCCGTTTGACAGGTTCCAAAGTCAGTGTCTCTGTGTTATCCTCCACAGCACACAGAGGGACCTCAACAGTGTGGGGAAAAGAACTAAAGGTTGATAGAATTTCCCCATGGACCTTCGGAAGCTCCCCTCCAACCCCATTCATTCAGAAGGCATCATTGGAAATGAAGACAGAGTTCATTAAAATACAACTTTTTAAAAATACAAAAGTAGTTAGAAATGGCAGTCCTGTGAGGCACTCCCAATAGCTCTTTGAGATGCCTAGTGGTGGATTGCCAGCAGCCTGTCAACTGAGTCTGGGCCTGATGATTGCAGTAAAAACTGGCAAGGTTTATGCCCACTACTTCCCAGTAGGTCTGATGGTTCCTTCTCTGGGTGAGCGGACTGGTTGGTTGTTCTGGGTCACCACCTGTGAGAAGGCATGGGCACAGAGTAGCCACCCAGGGAGAATCCGCCATCTCTTGGGCACAGGGTCTGCTAGAGATGCTGCTGCACACACAGCGGTGTTGCCATGGTGAACAACTGCGGACTCACGGGGCGGAAATGTGGTGGGTGAAATTCCCATCCCGGTATCTGCCCTGCCCCACTGGTTGGCTGGTCCTACTCCAGCAGAAATGCTATGTCAGGGCGTGTACGATCTCGAATCATTGTACAGATAAACCATCGCTGTGTCATTGTCTACCGTAAGCACTCCATGTAGGAACTCAGGTAGCCTGCGAGGAGGGGCTTCCCTCTGAATTGGATAGCTGTCGAGGAATGGGCTTTGTTCACCCTCTGCTCTCGTTTTTACTCTCATAGGGCGATTCGGCTGACTCTTTTTTCATCATAGAATCTGGAGAAGTAAAAATTACGATGAAAAGGAAGGTAGGTGTCCTTAGGTCATAAACCCCCTGAGGTACAAGCGGGAGACACAATAGTGTTCTCTTTTGTCATGTTTAGACCAGGGTTAACTTTTCATCTCCCACAAGCAAACTTAACCCCGTGTTTCATTGCTTTGTCAGAGTAAATCAGAAGTGGAAGAGAACGGGGCAGTAGAAATCGCTCGGTATTCCCGGGGACAGTATTTTGGCGAGCTTGCCCTGGTAACTAACAAACCCCGAGCAGCCTCTGCACATGCCATCGGGACTGTCAAGTGCTTAGGTAAGACTCACCACTGCCGGCCTGGTTCTGTTGGCACTGCCCGTGTGCATTCAGTGGGGGGAGGAGGGGTACTTACATGGGTTCACAGGTCTTATGGTCCCCACAACACCCAACAGGGTTAGGATTCATTACATTGTGAGGTTAATTCCTGGAGGCTTTCCAGAAAATGCCCATGCATACCAGGGGGCTTAAGGAAATTGTACCAAAAGGATGGAGTTTTCCAACAAACTTTTTGGAGCTCCCCGTGGGCATCATGATCTGCATATACACGAAGCAGCATTCTGTTTTAGTGGTTACAGTGAGACTTCCTCGCGCTCTATTGTAGCTAATCTTTAAAATAAACCGCATACAGTGTGTTCCTCGGAAAAGAAGCTAATGCAACGCTTACGTAACGCACATTCGCAGGGCAGGACAGGTTGGTGTGCGTGATGGTCCTGCCTCATCCTAGCCCTGGGACACGAAGACTCGGGTTTACCCAAGGGCGGGGGGAGGTTCCTTTGTGGTTCAGCTGTTTCTCTCTTAGACCACAGTCATGTTGCTGGTGGTTGCTACTGAGTCCGTTCCGAGTCTTAGTGGCCCTGTGTGGAAC